CTTTCCTATGACCTATAAATGACCTGGAATGTCCCGGCCACCACTCCGAGGCTGGCAGAAGCGTCCCCACATGCCAGGAGTCTCCCTCCCTCCCTCCCTCCCTTCCTTCCTTCCTTCTCTTCTTTCCTGAGAGCTGCATCGTCCCTTATCAATCTAAGGGTGTGTTCTTTTTCTTCTGCTTCCTGCATTGTCTCAGCTTCTTCTGACACTTTTTCCTCATTGTGTTGGTCTCTCTCTTTCATGTTGGAGGCTTTCCTCTGAAGGTTTTTCTATGTGCACTTAAGAATGCAGCCTTGAGGTGCTTTGTGGGGGCTGGAGGAGGAGCCCTGAGATTCAGCTCTTTTCCTCTGGGTCAATAAGTGTCTGAGTCTGGAGGTTCTTCCTCCAGGTTGGCCCGCCTGAGGGAGCACAGGTGAGGCTGCCAATGTCCGAGGAGCTGGGTGGGCTGAGGGGGCTGGGGGTCCCACTTTCCAGAGTACAGATGCCATGTCTTTGGGGCCGGTAGCATTTTCCAGCCATCAGCTGTGTGAGGGAGCCCCTCCTTCAAACTTCCCTGCATCAACCTCTATAGTCTTCTGCTAGGGGTGGGGGTGTGGGGGTGATAAGTGGGTGCACTGGCTGGGGGTGGGGGGACCTGAGGTCTAACTCTTGACCTGACCTTCGAGCACTCCTGTTTTCAGGGAGACGAGGAACGCCTAACTGCTTAATGGCAGAAGGCGATGCATCTCTCGTCCTGGTCATAGTGTTCACCTGGCTAAGAGCACGTTGGGATGAGGTTGGAGGGGATACTCCTCCACGCTGCTCAGGCCTGGGTCTGACTATGGGGAGAGGATGTTCCGAGAACATCTATACAGCCCCTCCCCAAGTTCCCCCTGCTTTGTGAAGTCAGGACCATGCAGGGGAGGGAAATCTAGGTGGGGAGAGTCCTGGGCGGGCCACTAGTCCCTGTCCCTCACCCTCCATCTCCCCCACAGCCTCCAGCAGCAGGAGCTCTGCAAGGACGCCTGGACCTCCCAGCCGAGACCCAGGGTAAGGCGCACGTGTCCCCGTGTCTGCTGCCATCTGCACGGCATCTTCCCGAGGGTAGGGCTTCCCGAGGGTAGGTTTCCTCAACAAGCCACTCACTCAACAAATATTTCATTTACTTCTTATGTGCCAGGAACTGATGCAAATGCTGGGGATATGACAGTGAACAGGCAAGGCTGTGCTCTCAGTGAAGTTTCTTTCAAATGGGCAGATTTAAACATGACCAAATGGATGAGTAGCTAGATAGGTAGGTGGGTAGATAGATAGATAGATAAATACACACACACACATAGAGGCAATGTCATTAATGATCATTACTATGGAGAAAAATTAAGCAGGTAGGTAGTAAAGGACAGGGTGATGGATGTGTGTGGGGAAGGTGATCGGGCATGATAAAGGCTAGTGAGATGCTCAAAGAAAACAAGTAACAAAGAGACTTGGATTGGGTTTCCTCACAATCGGATCCTGAGATGAGAATTTAGGTGTCGAGAGTTTACAGAGAGGTGATCCCAGGAGGCCTCGTGAGGGAGCGGGAAGGCGGGAAAGACAAATGGAGTGCCCCTTGATGAGAGCGTTCCCACTGGAGCACTGGGCTCAATGCCCTGGGCTCCCTCAGAGAGGCTGCGCAGGGCATTCCTCAGAGCCGCCCATGGAGAGCGAGGAAGCCGGGGTAGGGATCCACACACGTCTGTCCTCCTGGTGGGGGCAGATGGCAGGTTTGCTAGTTGATACAGAGTGATGCGTGAAGGCCTCCCAACTAGTGACATGTGAGCAGAGACCTGAAGGAAGTGGGAGAGTCAACCAAGAAAGCATCTGGAGTAAGACAGTTCCTGGCAGAGGGTCACTCCTGGGGCCTGAATCCTGGGGCATTTCTGGCCTTCTCTGCCCAGCAAGCCATGCCCACTCCTATGGCCAGAGAGAATCCCCAGGCAAGAAGGGGCAAGGGCTTGAGGTGAGAAGCCATTGGCGGGTCCAAGACTGTCCACAGCTACCAGAAGCTCAGGTGGGCAAACAGAAGGTACCAACAGGGGTTGCTACATTAGTGAGAGCTGGAATGGGCAGTGTACTGGGACCCAGCGGGTGAGGGGATGGGCAAAGTCACTCGTTGGGGTAGAGGTTGTTGGGTGGTTTAAGCAGAGTATCTGCTCCCATGATTGTATTCAAGGATGAGCCAGGACTTGCATTTGAGTGTGGAGTGGTTATAAGGGGACATTCATCCTTAAAGTTGGTCCCAGCAAGAGCTGGGGTCCTGTGAGTGTTGACGGCTGAGGGCTTTCTGGGTGCCAGGGTCTGCCCGGGATCCCGCATCTGTCTTCCCTCCGTTTCTCACACCACGTCCTCATGCACCTGCTGTGTCCTGACCTCAAAGTTCATTCTGGAACTAAACAAAGAACAGGCGTCTGTGGTCCTCGCATGGGGCTGTCTGGCCCTGACACCATCCAGGTTTGACACTGATAGTGAGTTTTGAGGCCATAGGACCTGAGCTCAAAGGAGAGCGGGGAAGAGGCGGAGCCAGGGCATCCCATTGACTGCTGGCCACTGTCCCCCACAGGTCCCTGCTCAGCAGTGTCCACTTCCTGCTCCTCATATTCCTGAAGGTGCCCCTGTTCCTGAGCATGCTCAGTGCTGTCCTCTGGGTGAACAGGCCTCAGCGGGCAACTTGTGAGGAAACATAGTTTGGCGAAGACAACCTGCCACCGTCCCGCCCACCCATGTCCTGTCCAGAGACACCGCCACTCGGGCTACAGAAGACGGAACCGCCACCCTGAACCTTACACCCCTTTTCAGCTTATCGCAGAGACTTAAAGAAACATTTTAATGACTATATCACCCACACACACGTGTGTGTATGAACAGTTGAAGGACTGAAAATAAACATCTGTGTACCGCCATTCAGCCTAAGAAATCAAACATCATGGAGGCATTTAAAGCCCCACCTACTCCTCCCTGACCTCAAGTCCTGCCAGCGTCAACCACTCTCTCCAATAGTTTGTGCCAGTCATTTCTATTATCCAACCTCACAGGTAAGAAGGAAGAGCACGCTTGTGGCAGTTTTTAAAGGTACCAGCAGGTGGCGCCAGAGGCCATCTGCGGAGCTTCACTGTGGACCTCTTCATGGACTCAGAAATAATTCTTCTCCAACAGGATTGCTCCTCAGTTGCTGGGTCCCTCCCAGCCAATCCCCAAATCCAGACCCATTGTATCCTGCTGGCCTTTCCCCAGGCTGGGTCCACTCCCCGCCCATCCTGCTCATCGGCCTGGACTATCTGAGTAGGGACCCCCTTGTCTCCATGGGGGCCAACCAGATGTGGACTCAGGCATTCAGGGGGCCAGGGACCAGGGCTCAAGGTACAAGCAGGGGTCTGGAGCCCAGTGGGCAGCTCAGACTAGTAGACTGAACCTAGGGGAGGGGATGGAGCAGGAGTGAGAGACGAAGACATACCTGATTCCTGTATAAGACTTCAGATTTCTTGAGAAGCAACACCACGTGGATCTGCTGATTTCTCACTCCCTGGGAGAGGCAGAGAGACCCAGGGCCTCAGTGAACACGTTCAGCGAGCTTGGAACTTCAGGTGCTGACAGCTGTCACCACTTCCCATTCCCCAGGAACAAGGGAACTTGTGTCTAAAAGACTAACGATGACCGGTGCCAGGAAGTGTCTAAGGAAGGGCAGTGGGGATGAGAACCAAGGAGGCAGAGGTGCAGGGGCGAAGAGAGATGGGTGGGAAGTGGGGAGGGGTGGTGGGGTCCATCTTGCAGTGTCCTGGGAGAGTCTACAGTTTGGCACTGGCCTGGCATCCCATGAACAGCCTCAAAATTGGTCTTTAACATGATCTCTACATTGAATTATCTACACCACCACAGGCTGTGTTGGTAGGCGTGTTTATGCTATGTATTTATATGTGTGTTTTATTCCTACTAAGCCACCGGAAAGTTAACATTTTAATGTAATAGTCATCTTCTCATTATCTGATTGATTATTCTTGGTGGTCATTTGGGTATCAAAAGTTGATTCCTGAACCTGACACATTTAAAACATGCCACCATTTCGGTAACCCTATTCTGACATCTTTTTTTTCACCCCAATATGCTGAAAGCTTCAAAAACAAAAGTGAACTATGTGTAAGGTGTCTGGTGGGGACTAGACTTATTGGGGTGACAACTTTGTCAGATATATAAGTGTCTGGGCAAAATGTTGTTCACCTGAAACTGAGGCCTGGAAAGGGATGCATACTCTGACTGAAACATAGGGTCACTAAGGGGCAAGGGGAGTGAGACCTTCATCAGGTCCACTCGGGTCGAGTAGGCCAAGCAAGGAGAGTGTGTCTGATTGGACGACGTGCAGCAAGGAGTGCCCCTGACTGCTATTGATTTCTGTGGCTCTTGCTGATGAGTAGAGAAGAGAGAGACAGGGCAACACGGGGATGTCACTGTTGTGGTGAGAGGACAGAGGACACAGAAGGTCAGAGAAACAGGAGGGGAAGGGACAGATTGGAGAGACTTGGGGCAAGGATGGATGGGGAGTGAGGAGAGAAGAGGCCCATGTGACAGGAGTTGGGTTGCAACCAGTCTGGGTTATTATTGCCTTTGGTTGCGGTAAGCTGGTGTAGAAGAGGAACAGTGCCGGGAAGAGAGTGTTTCGGGGAAACGGATAGACCTGGATTGCTCAAGACAAGGTTGAGAAACCAGCCTATCCCAGGAGACACCTTAAAGTAGGCCCCACCTCTTGACCAGTCCCCCTACCATTTCCAGGGCAAATTGGCCAGGGAGCCATCATGTCCTGAGACTACCGAGCCTGTCTGAGGTAGGACAGACCTGCCTCCCCACCTCCTGGGAAGGACCATCCCCATCTCTGCCCCTTGAAGAGCCCCCTGGTCACCCCTGTGAACACCAGAGTTTCACCAGGGACAGTTCCGCCCTCTCTGTGCCATGGGAAGGAGAAGAATGGCTCAGTCCCAGCTGCCCAGGGTCCCCCACTCTCCATCCTCTGAGCTCTGAGCTCTCCTTGTCCACTGTCAGACCTCTGTGCCGAGTGTCACCGTGGAGCTGACCTTCAGAAGCAGAAAGAGTAAAACATGGAGTCCTCAGAGGGTTGGTGAACAGGGAACCCACAGAAGAGAGGACTCAACCTTGGATGGGACCCGACAACCAAGATGAGACCTTTGAAGGCATCTGAAGTCGTAGAAGAGTTGGGGGCCCACGGGGTCAGAGCTCCCGTGGGTGCCTGCAGCTACATGTTGGGGGTCAGAACACCTCTAGGTCACCACCAAGGCCCGAGAGGATGAAATGGTCTGGCCTTCAGCCCAGGACTATCATTCCTGACTACAAGGAAGTGACATGTGGCAGAGGGTGGGGACACCACCAAGGAGGAAACGTCCCAGCAGCTCTGCTGTGTGGAGACGTGTGGCCGTCAGAGGAGCAGCCATGAGCTCTGAGAAGGGGCAGCAGCCTCTCTGAGGCCACGGGCCCTGTCCTGTCACTGGGGTTGAGAGCAGAAGCCCAGGGCGCCGAGAGCCGGGGTCGGCAGCAGCCTGTGCAGCTCCTGACCCTGAGCTTCCTGCACCCTGACCACCCAGCATCGGACTCAAATCTGGGCTGGACACGGAAGCGGAGAGGCCCAGAAGAGCGGAAGTGGGCACAGGGCTATCGGACCCTCAGCGAGGAGGCTTGACTGTGTCCGCACGTAGGACCTGGCGCTGCTGCAGGCTGTGTCTGTGCAGAGACATGACCCCGAGGAGTGGGGCTACGTGGCTGCCTTCAGCTCTGCTCCTTCTCCAGGTCCCAGGTGAGCGGGGCTGGGCTGTGTGGGAGCTGGACCCTGAGTGGGAATGAGGACAGACTGGGACGGGGAGGGTGTGGAGGGTGAGGAGCAGCCCAGCCGGAGGGAGGGAGGACATGGGGGAGAGCACGGGGAGGCAGAGAAGCTTCGGGGAGCGGCCAGCACCTGCCTCAGTAGCAGCCACAAGGATTCAGTGCATAAAGCAGGCGAGTCTCAGCCACTGTGCCCTCAGAGCTGCGCTGGGGAGGCGGGGCCTGTGCTCACCTCACAACCAGGGAAGTGGGCCCTGGCTGAGGGCTCAGTGGTTAGAGCGTCGACCTGACACAGGTTCAATTCTGGGTCAAAGGCATGTACCTGGGCTCATGCAGGAGGCAACCAATCAATGTGTCTCTCTCTTCCTCTGCCTCCCTACCTCTCTTCCACTCTCTCTAAAATGGAAAAGTATCCTTAAGTGATTAAAAATATATCAGAGATGTGGTCTTGGTGCATCACACACACACACATATACATGTGCACACAGTCGTTTATTCCCATCGTGGCCCTTCTTGTCTCCATGCACACCCTCTCCCTGTGTCACCACTGAGAGGAGGGAGCTATCGCCCCTGGTTCCCTCGCCTGGTCTGAGGAAAGGCATGGCCTCCAGACCCTGAGGGCTCTTGAGGGACCTGCACCCCAGGGTGCCCCTGCCCCTGGCCCATCTGGTAAGAACCCCTCTAGGTCACCACGGGCTGTGTCTTCCAGGCTATTTGTCTCTGAGTGGCCCCGGGCACGTGACGGGCACCGTGGGGGGATCGCTGAGCGTGCAGTGTCGGTACGAGAAGGAGTTCAAGGAAAATAACAAATACTGGTGCCAAAGCCCATGTTTGGCATCGCTGAGGACGAAGATTGTGGAGACCACAGAGTCAGAGAGAGAAGTGAGGAGCGGTCGTGTGTCCATCCGCTAGTCAGGACAGACATGGAATTGAAGAGCTGGGTGAAGTGGGGGTCAGTGATCAGTACACAGTGTGTGTGGGTGTTATCTGGGCACAGGTGTGCCCTGCATACACGCACGCATGCACACACACACACAGACAGACAGACAGACACACACACACACACACACAGTCTGTTCCAGACCCCTTCGGAGCCCAGGCCCTGACGAAATCTCAGGTCTGGATGGCTCCTGAGGCATCACCCTCACAGCGTGGTCCTGGGGCCTGCAGCAGCCGTGAGACGGGCCCAGAGGAGCCCCAGGTCCCGGTGTGGGGCCCCTGTAATATTCTGGGGGCCACCCTTGCCTTCAGGTTGACCCTGTTCCTTCCCGTTTTTCTCTGATGCCTTGTAGCCACAGGAGGGAACCCAGGGGAACCCTTGAAAATACCTCCCTCAGGAAGGAGGGGAAAGGTGGCGCTCAGGTGCTGTGGCCCCAGCTTCTCCCCTGCTCTCCGCACAATTCTCTCCACAGG